GAATTCAATAAATATCTGGGGGAAATTAAGGGTCGAATGATGAAAAACCTATCTGGTTCACTAATGTCCTTTAGGGAAGAAACTGCCATCCTTACCTGGTCTGACCTACATGTGACTCCAGACTCACAGCAATGTGCCGTTGAATCATAAGCATCCTCTGGGCAATTAAATGCTGCCTAGCCAGCAACACCCTCATCCCGTGAATGAATAAAAAAAAAGTCTCATCAGGCGAACTCCCTTTACTCACCACATTGCCGGCCAAAAATGAGGAAGTGGAAATATTTGCAGCAAATTTGGACTTTTGCTTACAAAATGACAACCTTTTGTTCCCCTGACTGGTCAGAAATGTAACCACTGTCAGCTTGAAACCAGTCTTTAGTATGACACCTAGCGTCCTCATCCTTTCATTTCTACAGTCAGTGTCAATTTCTGTGCTGTAAAAACTCTATATACTATGACATTTCAAGTGATTGGTCAGCATTAAGACCAAATAAACACTCGGTGCCCTTGGCTGTTCAAGGTCTGGTGAACTCTATCTGTAAAAAAAAAGCTATTTGATTTGAAAGCAAACTAAAAAGCAGCTTAATCCTTATTTTAGAAAAATGTCACCACACTCTGAGGGATGAGTTTGATACCAAAGTTCCCCCACATTTACACATTATTTTGACAAATTATTTCTGGATGAAATATCCGGTGCAATTGGCTTGGTTCCAGATATCAGGGCAGAGAGGATTGTGAGGGTATTGTCTGAAAATTCCTGCCCTTCACACCCTGAATCATTATTTCTGAGGGGGTGTCAGGATACCTTACTGAGTGCCAGTAGGCTGGGAAAGGGATCCCTCCCCACCATGGCCATCTAGTCTTAATGTCTGTATTTGGCCAGTGTTTACAAGGGCAAGCTGACTTACAACCAATATGCCCCGTTTAAAATCTTCCTGTTTGCTACATCCTCCTGTTTACACGTCTTTGACCATTCAAGGTGTTTATATCTATTTCAAGGTCTCATTCGCAACAAATGTTTAACTTTTGAGTTTGAATGACGCTCAGTCATTACTACCATTTTGATGATTTTAGCTTTCAATTTCTCCCCAAGAAAATACTTCATTTGAATTATTTTGTCCTAGGATTAGGAACAAATTATGGTTTAATGTTTGTGGGGTTGGAGGGAGATTAGTGTGACTTCAGACTCACTGTACAAACGTCCCGTTACCAAGTTTCTGAAACAGATTGGCCGAAAGGCAAACTATGAATGTTCAATTTTCAAAAAGATAACTAACTCTGGTCTGAGCGAGAGAATCTCATCAGCAGTAGCTGTGGCTGGGTGAGGCAGTTCCACTGTGTCAGAAGGAACAGAGACTGATTCGCAGACGGTAATGAGTAAGAGTGACAGGCTGCTGTCCCTGCAGCACACAGCCCAAAGCACTGATCTTTCCTTTTCCCTCAAAAAACAGTCACAGCTCACTGCAATACAACTGAAGTTTGGCTTCCAATGGCTTAGCAACCATGAACCCTTCCTCCTCCAACTCCTGTCCACCCCCAAGACCCAACTAAATTTTAATACACAGAAAATGTAAGTGCTGCTTGCAAACAGACTTGTAACAATGCTAATTACTCCCTGCCATGTCTATCTTCTCAATCTGCCCTCTTAGGTGAAACAGCCAGTACATTCTGTGCTGCACAGATGGCAGACAGTGTCTGTTCCCTCAGCAAAAACACTTACAAAGTACCTACCTCTAGAGAGCCGCTGTGGGCCCCAGTTTGAGAATAGCTGATATAACAATATATTGGAACAGGCACAAGGGATGGTGGTCTCCCCTTTCCATCACCCAAGAGTGTCAAGTCCCAAGTACATGTAAGACTTGATGTGCAGCCCCAAATAACACTCCCTGCAACACTTTGAAACAGTGGGCTACCATTCAAATCAGATTTCTATATTCCACCCAGTTTGAGAGATTGAGGGGATTTACAATGAGCTTTCAGAAACCGCACTGATGAGATTCTTCTTCGTGAAACCAATATTAACATGTGTGGTCTTTTAGGTGTGCGGTGTCAGCAGATGAACACCTAAAATGACAGTCTCCCAAAGACGCTTAAAGAATTCAGAAACGTTAACAATTTTTGAGCCATTGGACTGTTATTTCAACACGTGATGTGCCAAAAACAAATTTCTAATTAATGGACGTGTGAAACTAACAGGAAGTTTCTGCTGGAGTGGTATGGGTTACCAGCTGTGTCACAGCTTAAATAAAAAGTGTGCCGCAGATACACAGCAAAATCTGGCAGCATCTATGGAGAGAGAGAAGAACAGATGTTGCCAGACCTGCTGAGTCTCCGATTCACTTTCTGTTTTTATTTCTGATCTCTAACATCTGAAGTAATTTGTGTGTCACAGTTCACTAATGCAGTGGAGCCTGGTCTGAGCTTGGCTTTCCCGCAGGATTACAAATGCTGCCCTGTGCCTCACCACAAAACAGCACAGCTTTAACCACCAATGGTTTAATACACGCCCTGCTTTACACTGTCCTGGAACAAGCCACAGTCCAGGCAGCTCTGTCCCATTCAGTGAAGTCTCTAGTCAAATTTAGGAAAGAAAGCTAGTACCAATGAAATTAAAATGCTTTTTGTGTATTTTTGTAAAAGATGCTTGTCAGATGTTTGAACTTTTCCTCTCTATCAGCTTTGATCACAATATTCTGCAGGATGTCCTGATATTTCAGTCCTTTGTATTGTTGTTGAGTCCTATTTGCTGCAAGATTAATTCATCAAACACCGGATGGATTTGATTAATGGAAGTGAAGACTGAAACATCAGAATCCACAATTATTCTGAAAAGGTGGGCTCTGTCTGGGATTCCTTGAACAGAACACTCATTTACTTCCCCACCAGCTCTGTTTTAGAAATTTGAGGCAGATAACTCACATGTTGCTCCAGTCAAATCACTGCGTTCCCTAAGTCAACAGACAGCAAAGTACATTCTCCACCGATTCCACTCTTTTCCTAGTTACTGTCTCTTTTGGTGACAATTCCACACCCAGTCTTGGCCTATCTGCTTGAAGCCCAGGTGTCTTATCACTCTCAGTCTACTCCTGGACAACTCCACCTTCTATAAATTTTAGCTGCTCCCCACATCCTATCCCACTCACCTATCATTCCTAACCACACTAATCAATGTTGGCTCCCAACCCTGTATGCATTCACCTCCCTCAAAACACTTTGATATTCTACCTCCTTTGTAGGCATGCCCAGCCCATAACCTGCTTCATCACCTCCAAGAGCCTCTTTGAAATTCATCTTATCAACCAAGTTTGCCATACTGCTCTTTGAAACTTGATTACATCTCAAGTGCCTTAGGAATGTTGACCAAAGGTGCGAGATAAATGCAGCTTGATCTTAAGGGGATGAAGCTGAATTAGCAAACAATTGTTACCTACTGCACATTTCCCGCTCACTCTTGGGCAGAAATCAGGGAGGGGGAGGAGTGCCACAGATCTCACAGGACAGGTTTCTAGAAGGTCAGAGCACGAGATGAGCCATCATAGTATTAAATGGCAGAACAGATTATATGGCCTTCTCGTCTTCCCAAGTAGACCACTCTCCCTGGCCTGTTATTTTTGATACTTTAACACACCACCCTGTTCCCTGGCCAACATCTCTACCTCAAGCTCGCTGCAGTGTTCCAGTGAAGCTCAGTGTTTGCTGGAAGAACAACACCTCATTTTCCACTTGGGGACCTCCAGGCTCAATATCCAGTTCAATAATTTTAGGGCCTGAACTCTCCAATGAGACCACCAGGCCTTGTTATCACAGCCTGCCATTACACACTACCTATTGTTAGCCACTAACAGTCTCCACTAACAGCTATTCACCCTCCTAGCCAGATCGTTATCCACTCTTTTGTCTGTCCAACTATTCTGTTCTCTTTGGGCTCTACCCCCACCTATCGTTTACTCCTTATCCCCTCTGTCTAACCTATTTTTTGCATATAAACCAACATTTTCCTAGCTGCCATCAATTCTGGGGAAGGGTCATTTGACCCAAACTGTTAACTCTGATTTCTCTTCACAGATGCTGTCACATCAGCTTTTCCAGCAACTTCTGTTTTGTTTCTGGTATTTTTTGAGGTAGAGATCAGCTTAATAAGGCTTTGTAATCTGACTGCTCTAGTTTCATTTCCACTGATTTACCAGAGAACCTGCCCTCACAAAGAAAGGAACTCCCAGTTCTAATTCTACTATGTAACAGTGGCTCTTCAACCTGGACCCACTTGCAGCAAAACAAAGGGTTGGCAACATTTACTTATTGACTAGAATTAGAATCACTCTCTTCAAACATCTTCATCTAGATTATTTTCCTTCGGTAAAATAAAATTGTTTGGAAAAAAGCACCCAGTCTTGAAGATGCTAATTTCACTAAGTGCTTTACAGCATGGCAGGTTATGACAATGTTCTGACAGAACTAATTTAACATAATGCAGCTATATTTAACTAATCCACCACATACCCTGAAAATAGCAACATGTACCTGTTACACTTGTGCTTGGAGCAGCCTGATGTTCACTAACAGGTGCCTGGAGTTTTCCAGTTTTAGTTGGCGAAGGCACCATTCCCTGCTCAGCCAGTTCTGACAGCAGGTCCCGATTCACTGGTTCAGGTACAATTACTGAACAACTGGGGTTAAGGAGGCTCACCATGACGGTAGCTGGAACACATGGACTGCAGCAGCTTAGAGGTAACAGCCAACAAATCCATATCACTGTGATTCACCAAACTCTGGAAAACACACTTTCCTCCATTTCAAAGTGAACCCTGCTCCTGTATCTGCAAGGCTCTTCTAACCTCTCACCTGAACTCAGCTCATCAAGCTGGGCTCTAAGCTCCCCAACTCCCGCCTGACTCAAATGGTTAAAGGTCAGCTTTGTGTCAATCAAAACCAGGTGGAGCTATTCAGCAGTTCCAGTTCAGATGCTCTCATTCTGAGAGGTTCAAAAGGAATTTAGAGAATAATGTTCAGCTTCACTTTATTTACAAAGGGCAAGGTAAGAACTTTGTCACAATATTTACAGAAATTCAGAGACTATAACCAATGCGGCTATAATAGCCAGAAATTAATTTTCATTGTTCCAGCTCCCAGGTTTTTAATCAATATAACCTTTTGAAGGCATGGGGCACGCATGCAGGTAAGGGGAGCGTGCACAGGTTCGAAAATCACAACTTTTAGAGAACAATTTTGCTCTCAAATTCAACTCTCAACAGAGAGGGGTTGGGTTAGAGTTAGGCAATACAACTGCACCCAATCCATGACACTTTAAAATTCCACACTAAGGTAAAGGATCAACTCCAGGTGGGAACATGCAGGTGAACAGCATCGTCCGCTACTCGAGCAGCCAGTGAAGTATTTGTGGAACTCTGGTCAATGTTGTACACAGCAAGAGCACATTGACAAGATAATCTATTGTGATATCGACTGAGACGTATATACTACTCTACGGCATCAGAGATAATTGCCTGATCTTCAAAGCAGTATCAAGGGATTAGATTTAATCTCTTGTGAAAGATGACTGATCCAAAGGCGTGGTGTTCCCTCGGTACTGACTGTCCAACAGTACAGAAACTCCCCTGCTGTGTCAGTCCACACTGTGCGCTCCAGAGGGATAGATTCCTGGCCTCTTGACTCATACAAGAGACCCCAGCTGTTAATGCATTCCTGGCAGAGGGAGGTGTGTTCTGACAGATAAATACAGAAGCTGAGAATACCAGCTCCTGTGTGTAACACTGCAAGGAAGGGACACAGGAAGTCTCCTGAGTTTGTGAATGATAGCCTGTCTGGTTACTCTACAGGATTGGTTCAAAACAGATGCAGACAGCTGCTGAGGCCCTTTAAGTGCCAGCCGTGAGGAACACAGCTGACCATCAGGACAATAAAAAGGGCACATCAAAGGATGAAACCGGAGGATAAGTTAGGACCTGTACATATAGAGTTCAGGAGAAAGAGGTGATTTTATCAGAACATAGGATTTCAGGAGGCTTGACAGGATAGATAGTGAGACAACGTACCCCCTCGCAGGAAACCTCAAACTTGACACAGTTCCAAAGTAAGTGCCTCCCTAATTCTGAAACAAGGAGGAATTTCTAGTCTCAGTAGGTTGTTGGATCTATGCAACTCTCTTTCCCACAGCAGTGGGAGGCTGAATATGTTCAAAGGCAGAGTGTTGATTGACAAGGGATGGGAGGACAAAATAGGGGAAAGATGGAAAGTGGAGCTGAGACCACAATCGAATCAGCCATGATCTTATTGAATGATAGAGCAGTCTCCAGGGGCAAATGACCTACTCCTCCTACTTCTTATGAACTTAAGCCTTATAACAGCAACTGAGACTTGTAACATGACACTACCAAACCAGCTGGAAAGCAATGTATAGATGAGATTGTTCAAGCCAGATGGTGGCAGTGTTCAGCTCTGACCTGGGAAACAGAAGGGAAGTAATGGGTTTGGGTTCCAGTGTCACAGACTGGGCTCAGTACAATGCATAAAGGTTCCACAGACAGCTGGCTGCCATATACCTCATCCAAACTGAACAGGGTACCTCACTCAGGCTAACAATGTTGTTATCTGCCTGTTCAGTAAGGCTGGGGGTGCAGCAGAGACAGCTTGAGGACCAGGCTTCCTGCAAAACACAGACACACCAGGGGGACAGCAACAGCTTTGGTTGGGATGTACTCTGCAGACTCACAACTGGCAAGGTGGAAACCTGGGACAGGTAGAGGGAATACTGCCAGGAATATACATGCCAGCCCTTAGCAAGAAGGAACACAGCTCCAAGGGTTTAGCCACTGCTCCAGCACTTGTATTTATTAGTTCAGCTTCATCCCAGAGCTTGTGTGTGTCTCTCTTTCCAATATTCATAGTCCCATTCCGTAATCTGTAAAAGCCTCTGATCAGAGACTCCTAGACAGAGAATGAGAGGTACATCCTTAATGTCAGTCAGTGCAGCTTGATCGCACTCCCCTGCCCAGAGCCAGCTCTCTCCTACAAATGAGAGATTCCAACCTTAGATAGACAAACCCAACAATCTTGTGTGCAGAAACCAACCCTCGTGTATTGCTACATGAGTCCCGGAGACTCCTGGGAAACCACAAGGGAAACAAAAGAAGTCAACTTCAAACTTTGAGAATTAAGTAATTTCTTGGTAAACATTCCCAGCCCACCCTCCCAAAGAAAAGCATAATGTTTGAAGCTCTAACACTCTAACCGTGCAGCATCAGAATGGCCACACAGGTAGAAGCTCTGTTTCACTCAGCCAAGCGTCTTTGAGCCAGTCTGCATGCTAATAGTTCATATTAACATCGAGGGCCATCATGACCTTTAAGGTGAGTGTGGGCCCAGTCTTACTCTCCAAGAACCAGCCAACTACGGTGCCATCCAGAAGGGCATCTGCTGCTGGGCACGCTGAGGGGGTAGTGTGTAGCAGCACTCTGCACTCCAGCCCTGCGCCATACTTTGCCTCCTTCTGGAATGTTCTTCTTCCTCATCCGATGAGTCTCCACCGTAGGACACAAGCCGCGATCCCCTCTCGCCCATCCTCCTCATCTTCATCGACGGCTCCCCAAGATGATCTAGAGATAGGCAAAACAAAAACAAGAGACACAAACAAAAACACACATACACAGCAGAATAAACAGTCCCAAAAAAAAAGCTCAGGAAGAAAAATGGGTTTGTTATTGGGAACCATTTGTAGTTGTCGATGTGATGCCGGTTTGGCACACGGGCCACAGTAGTCCAACACAGAGCAGCCAGGCAGGCAGGTTAGCACAACCAATGTTTCATCAGCCACGACAACAGCAGAACCATGGAAAAGAGAGAGAGAGAAAAAAAAGAAACACAAACAGGAAAAGGTGATGTTAGAACACGATCCATCAGCGATCAATTCGCCATTTGTAGGGCTGACTGACCAAGGAGATTTACAAAATAACCTTTGTGACTGACACAAACTCTCTCTTCAGACTAGCATTTAGCACAGATTATCAGTCAGTCAGGTTTCTCTTGGTTTTGGACAACATTCACATGTACACCTGACACCCCACCCCCCATTTGGGTTCCTCTATACCTGCGCACCCCCCAGCCCCCCAAAACAAATTGGGTACATCTATACCTGTGTCCCCACTTCTAAATTGCATATATCTATTAGGTATCTCTGTACTACCATCCCCCCTCTGCATCATATTCCTCTATATTTTCCCTTTCCTTTAAATCAGGTTCCTCAACACAACTCCCTCTCTACTCCTTTCTCTCTAAATCACTAGATACCAGACAGTGAACAGTAGCAGCTTCCCTGGCTGATTTAGCCGCAGACAGTGAATGGGAGCAGGAATCCTCGCTCCTTTGTTTAGAGTTTAAATTCTTTTAGGGACGTGGTGTGGCATCACACTGGCTGGGCTAGCATTTAATGCCCATTCCATCCTGGAGAAGGTGGTGGTGAGCTGCCTTCTTGAACTGCTGCAATCCTTGTGGTGTAGGGACACACACAGTGCTGAGAGGAAAGGAATTCTAGAATTTTGACCGTGTCTCAGAAAACCAAGTCTAGATGGTGTGGGAAACCTGCAGATGGTGATCCTGTGCCCCCATCCTTCTAGGTTGTAGAGGTCACAGGTTGGGAAGGAGCCTTGGCGAATTTCTGCAGGGCATCTTGTAGATGGTACACACTGTTGCTACTGAGTGTCGGTGGTGGAAGAAGTGGGTATGGTGCCAATCAAGTAGGCTTCTTTGTTCTGGATCATGTCAAGTTTCTCAAGAACAATTGGAGCTGCAGCCATCCAGGCATGTGGGGGGCATTCCATCACACTCCTGACCTGTGCTTTATGGACAGATATTGGAGAATCAAAAGGCAATTATTTGCCACAGAATTCCCAGCCTCTGACCTACTCTTGTAGCCACAGCATTGATATGGCTGGTCTTGCTCAGTTCCTGGTGAAAGGCAATCCCTCAGACAGTCGTGAAGGATTAACAACAGCAATCAGATTAAATATCAAGTGAAGATTCTCTCTTGTTGGAGATGGTTAATACCGGGCTCTGGTGTGGCATAAATGTTACTTGCCACTTACAAACCCAAGCCTGAATATTGTGCAGGTCTTGCTGTATTTGAACATGGACTGCTTCAGTATCTGAGCAGTGGCAAACAGCACTGAATGTTGTGCAATCATTGGCGAACATCCCCATTTCTGACCTAATGATGGAGGGAAGGTCATTGATGAAACAGCTCAAGATAGTTGGGGCTGAGGAACTCCTGCAGAGATGCCCTGGAGCTGAGATGAGTGACATCCAACAACCACAACCATCTTCCTATCTGGCAGATATGACTCCACCCAATGGAGAGTTAGCCCAACACCCAAATACACATTGATTCCAGTTTTGCCAGGGCTCCTTGATGCCACACTCGGTCGAATGCAGCCTTGATGTCAAGGGCTGTCACTCTCACCTCACCTCTGGAATTCAGCTCTTTTGTCCATGTTTGAACCGAGGCTGTAATGAGGTCAGGAGCTGAGAGACCCTGATGGAACCCAAACTGAGTGTCAGTGAGCAGGTTATTACTGAGCAAGTGCTGCTTGATGGCAATGTCGGCAATCCCTTCCATCACTTTACTGATGCTTGAGAGTAGACTGATGGATACTGATTGGCTGAGTCGGATTTTATGTACAGGACGTACCTGGGGAATTTTCCACATTGTTGGGTATAGCCATTGTTGAAAGTGAGCCAGCACAGAGCTGCTCAGAGAGACCTGAAGGAACATTATCAACATGTTTTGGAAATTAGTTGAGTTACAGGGAACAGAGTTCGGGATTGGGCAGATTCTCAAACTGGCAGATGGGACTAGTGATGTCTGTGAAGATCTGTGTCGGGCGTCTCAGCAACTCACTCTGTTCATTAAAGACTTAGAGGGGTAGGAAGCCTCGTGTCCAGATCTGCAGATGACACAATGAGAGGCTGCACTGTGAGCAGTGTTGACGCAAGTGTAACATTACAAAGTGAAAACAGTGGGTCGAATGAACTGGCAAAATTGTGGCAATGAATTTCAATCAAATTTGAATGAAAAACAATTCAAGGGTTCCAAATAGTGGAAGCTTAGAGGGATTGAACAAGGCCCAAGGACATAGATCCATAAATTGTTGTGAACAGGTACAAGCAATAATCCAGTGCTGCTGGCTTTCATGTTGGAAGTCCTGGAATACAAAGGCACACCACATCCCTCAATGAGACAAAGCCCTGAGTCACTGTACTCCATGCCTTTGGAAGGTTACATCGGTACTGGAGGATTCACCAGAATGAATCCTAGCCTCAAAGAAACATGATCTACTGGGAAAGATTATACAAACCAAAACTATATGTCCTGAAATTTTGGTGGTTTAAGGGTGATTTGATCAAAGTTTTCAGAATTTGAATGGGAGCCGATACAGTGAAGGACCAGAGGAGCAGGAAAGTCGACATTCTGGGTCTACACCCTTCATCCTGTCGACTTCCCTGCTCCTCGGATGCTGCCTGACCAGCTGTGTTCCTCCAGCTCCACACTATATTGACTGTGGCTCCAGAATCTGCAGTTCTTGCTATCTCCTAACTGCTAGATTGAAACCATTTGTGGTGGTTGGAGATTCAAGGGTAAAGATCGGATTGAAATTTGAGCCACCCTTTTGGTGGGAGGTTGGGAAACAGGTCAGCAAGATCTCTGTGAATCACGGGTTAAACACGTTCTGAATATATTCAGTCAGTCTCAGTCTTTGACCATAAAGCTGGTCAGTGTGACTCTGTAAAGACAGACTCAGCAATCAGTACATTCTCCTATGATCTCCCTTCAGGAAGTCAAAGTCTGTATTTCAAAGAACAAACCCTTCCTGTGCTGGAAAAGTGGAACAAAGGCTCTGATAGCAAGACCAGTTAGGTTTGGTGGAAAGGACCTTCCAAATCATTCAGCCATTGCAAGGAAACAGCGTCCTCTCAAGATATGGGCTGAAGAGTGACCTCCTCAGAAATTCCAGCTTTCCACACCCATCATGACCTTGCATCAAGTTTGTGCTAGCAACTAAGCAGCTCACTCACCCAGAGATGCTGAAGGTCTGTACATCCCACACTGATCTTCAGGTTGCACGAATCCTTCGTTGAGAAGTCGTGGTGGTGGGGGCATCAGCTGCCTGGGTGGGGGAGAAGAGAGACGTGAACAGTAGTCTAACCTTGGGACAGGCAACAAAGCACAGAAATATTTCACAGGTGGGGACTTACTGAAAAATATTCACCATCACAAAATGAAAATGACAATTCTGTACTGAGGTAACAACGGAGATGCAGTCAGAGACCATCCATTAGAGCTATTCCTGGTGAGGTTCCACATGGAGCACGGAATCTCACCAACCAGCTGTCATTCTGGGATACAGAGCTCACATGCCTGTGTGGAGTTACCTCTACCTGGAGCACCAAGCATGAACAGGAAGGACTTTAACCTATTCCCAATCGATGAGATCTCCAAGTGGCTCATACCCAGGGTTTCAGGAAACCGGCTAGCTCTGATCTTTTCAGGAAAAGTGAGAATCGACTCATATCCCTTCAACAATGGCACCAAACATTCACACTTTATAAAATACAATCTGCCTGTAAGACTCCAGGCTAACTAAACCATCCAAGAGAGTCAGAATGAAAGGTCTTCTGGATTACCAGCTGGATGAATCTCAGGATGGAACCATCCCTAATGCCAGAGAATCTAGCCCAGAACCACAAAGGGATTAGACCAGGGCACCTGAAGCTGTGGGCACCAGCCTATGGAGAGTTTGGAGTGGCGAGCTGAGGCAGCAATGTCTGGTGCCAAGTTCAGACCGAGTGCCCAAAGCTGAGAGGTCCCTGTGAGTTCACTCTGTTTTATCTAGGGGTGGCTAGATCATCCAGGTCTGATTGCTAGGGGCCAGAAAAGGATGAGGTTTGACTTCTGAAAACAAAAATAACAATTCACACTGGATGAAGTCTCAGGTATTACACAGGGGTCACACTGGATAAAGATTTCAAGAGCACTGGGCTACATACTGACTAAGATGAGCTGATAGTTAAAGATGCTCAATAGGAGATTGGCACCTAGCAAGATCAGAGGGACACCATGGAAATGTGTTCTGGTGGTAACTCAAATAAAACACAACACAACACAAGAAGAAACCCACCTGTCCCTCTCCTTTGCTCTACCGCAGGGATCAGCGAAGGTCACACCAGCTCCACCTCGTCCGGTCTGAGAGGACCCTGTACCTAAATTAGTCATATGAATGGGTCCATGCTATGAGCAGAAAAAAGCAGCAGCATTAGCAGCAGTAACAATGCTTCCTACTGCAGTATCCCGTTGCTAGGCTGTAGTTGTGAATACATACTTACTACCCTAACTCTATTTGAAAGTTGCACCAGCAGCGCACTAGCCTGTTAGGTTTCTCAGCTGAAACAAAGCTAAAACTCAGATTTCACTGTCTGGCGAGGCCGGTAACCCGCGCCCTGTACTGTGCCACTGCTTCATTCCAGGAGAC